ATATATGTTTTATATACTTAAACAATTGATACTAATATTGAACATGCCTTTTGGAATATATTCTTGATTGAAATTAATATTTGAATCAAGGACTGTATTAATGTACTATTGAATTAAACACTGATGGGATTTGAATAAAGCGTTTTACATTTGTGTGGAGATTCTATGATTTTAATATTTGTTTTTAGGTAACTGGATATAAATAAACAATGGTTTCAAATACAAGAATTTCAAATTGTGATAGTGACTTTTTTGCATTTTAATTTCCGCTTCCCACTTTATTTATTTTTTTGTTAATTTTTTTTAAACAAACATTTCCAAATGCTGATTTATAATAATAGCTTATCTTAGTAACATGGATTGTCAATTAAACCTTTTCATGTGCAGTCCAATACAATTCAATACAATAAAGACAAACATGAAATAGTTGGTTTTTGCAATACATTTTCTTTTTCTTTTGAAATATACAACTAAATGGCTAACTAAATAGCTATAATTCAGAGGAGAATTTCAGAGGTGAGCAAGTACAGTAGTCATTTGTAAGCAGCTAAATAAACCTGTGTATAATTACCTTACAGAATTTGTATTTACAGAAAATATTAAAAGAATTTATTTAAACGTGGTTGATGTGAACATTGGTTAAATAACAATTACTCCATTACTCTATGGCCTCTTTTTCAGGAATATATTTTATTACTGAACATTTAATAGAATTAATATTTATGGAGTACTACATGCTATAGGAGTATTATAAAAAATATTAATAAAATTAAAGTAATATTCTTCTGAATTCTGCCCATGCACAATGGCTGTTAGTGTCGCTACACTTTCTGAGAGAGTCAGAGACTTAATGGAAAGTTTTCAAAACCACTGATTTTGCACAGTTAATTATTTAGCAAAGGCAAAATTAATTAGATAGATGCAAATTCTAAAAGTCTGCTCTCCAAAATGGCGGCCTTGTTTTGTATGTGACACATTTACGTTAAAACATTATAGTTATTAATTTTAGACAGATGCAAATACCTTGAGCAATATAAGTTGAGCTAAAATAACACACAGTGCCAATCTTGCCAGCAGAAATTTAGCTGCTTTTACCGAATTGTTTTTAAATACACCATTTTAAAGATTGATGTGCAAATTAGTACTGATATTTAAAAAAGTAAAAATAAATATTTAGTGCACTATTAAAAAGAAGAAAATATCTTCTTCTATCAAACAAGTGAGAAAAAAATTAACCTTATGAAACCATTGACGTATAATGCATGCTTTTATTTGACTGGTAATATGAATCTGATATGCATGTCTTATGGACTAGCTAACATACAGTATGTTAAAATCCAAAAGCATCAACACGTCAAACTCCATCAAAATATGTAGATATTTCAAAATCTCAGGAATCAGATAGTAATTTCTACAGTTGAATGCTGACGTCATTATTAATAAATACATTTTGATTTACATTTCACATTGTATGTTTCATTTAGAACATCATGTTTATATATAAAACACAACTTCATTCTCCAATGTACTTTTCTAGTTTGGTAAAAGTAGTCAGCTGTTGCATGGTTAAAACAGATTGTGAAAGAATAGTAATGAATACCAAGTTTAAAATGTTATAGTATAGTACAAGCTTATAACTGAGTTGAATGAATACATTTATGATTACAGTGATTACAGTGAGTTTAATATGTGATCAATGGATCCTAATTATGTGTTTAGCATTCAGAAGAATGCATCAATAGTTAGTTGTAAAATACATTGCATGTATAAAAAAAATTCTGCTTCTAATCTTTAACCAGAAAACATTTGTATTAAATAGAATATATTAAAAATGAAGGCTTGCTATAGACAACAGCGGATGAAGGCATAGTATTATACTATGTTTGGTCATTAATTTATACCAAATTAATGTAAGGTGATTTAGTAAGTGGCTAGCAATGATTTTAATTTGTGTACTTTTTATACACAACTGTTGTTGATAGACTTTAAAAAAGAATACAAATAATAATTAGTATTATGGTTATTACTATTAATATTTGCATTTGGATGAATAATACACCTTTTTTAGAGATATGAAAAATAACAATTAATTTAATAACAGTAATATGATTAATAATTATTACAGATAAATCATGTGTTTATATCATATTAACACCAGTGCATTAAATATACAATCATCATTAAAATATGTTTGCTGCTTTTCATTGTTATGTATGCAAAGTTGCAGTTGTCTCATTTTGCTATTTAATACTATGACAAGCTTTATACTTTACTACATAATGTATGCTTTCTTCTTTCTATGCTGTGGTAATATGTTTTTCTTATATGTTATGCCTTACCTTATATGAGGAAGTAAGTACAGCCCCTTGTTGATTTGCTTGTTCTTCATTAGTTGGAGTGTGAGAGGAATTTGGAGTAAACACTATTAAGTCATTCCTGTCTTTGAGAGAATTTGAACATACCCTGTACTGCGTTTGCTGTGAATATACCCAACTACCTCCAGTATTGGAACAGATCTTGTAATTTTTCTTCAGTTCATTGACTTCATCCCTGTATTTTTGCCATCTTATCACAGTAAATGCAATTAGAGTGATAAGGAAAACACTTGAGATTATGCAAATAGCAATAACTAGGTAAACATTTGTATCAGAAAATTCTTCAAAACTATCTTTGGACTCACGATTGTCAAAGTGAGCCACCTCTCCGGATTCCACCAAAGAAATAAAGATTTGTGTCATAGCTGTCATAACTGGCTCTCCATGATCCTGGGCCACAATGTGAAATCTGTATTCATCACTGTCAAACTCTGTTAATGCACGTTTTAAGCTTATTTCTCCAGTTTGTTGAGATATGATAAATGTTGTTTTTCCAGTAAGCTCTTTCAAATAATATGATATCAATGCATTATACCCAGAGTCGTGATCTACTGCTTTCACTTTAGCTACCAGATGTCCAGATTGTGCTGACTTTGGAGTTTTAATTGTCAATTCAGAATAAAGTGGAGAGAAGATAGGAGCATTATCATTTATATCTTCAATGAAAATATTTAATGTAAGGTTTGAACTGAGGGGAGGTAAACCAGCATCAATTGCTTTAATGAAACACTGAAAATATTTGACTTGTTCATGATCAAATGAGACTAAAGCAAATAACTTTCCATTTTCTGGATTAATGGAGATGTAGGATGATATGGGGATGCTGTTAATAGTACTGTCAACAATTGAGTATGTGAGAAAAGAGTTCTGTCCTACATCCAGGTCTGAGGCAACTGCTGTATAGAAAAGAGTGCCTGGTGGATTGTTTTCTTTGATGAAAATTGTGTCAGCTGGCTGCAGAAAATGGGGGGCATTGTCATTCGCATCACTTATTGTAATTTTAAGAATTTTTGAAACTGACAATGAAGGAGAACCTTCATCTTTAGCAGTTAGGACAACTTCGTATTCATCTCTTCTTTCACGATCCAAGGCCCCATTCACAGTCACAGCAAAAACTCCCAAAATGGCTTGATTAATTTTGAAAGGAGTGTGATCAGAAATAAAGCAGTTTACTTTTCCATTGGTCCCTGAATCCCTATCATGTATATTAATGATAGCAACTGTTGTCCCTTGAGGAGAATCCTCTGGTACTGGAACCAATAATGATTTCACTGCCATCTCTGGAGGATTGTCATTAACATCTATAACAGTCACTAGAACTTTGCAGTGACCAACCATTGGGTGTTCCCCATTATCAATAGCATCAATTTGAATTTCATACATATTTGCTTCTTCAAAGTCAACCTCACCTTTTACTGTAATGTCTCCTGTGTTTTTATCTACACTGAAAATTCTACTAATTTCCTCCATTCCCATGCTGCTAAATTCATAAAATATTTCTCCATTTTTTCCTTGATCCAAATCTGTAGCATTTAAAGTAAACACCAAAAATCCCTTTCCAGCATGTTCTGTTACACTGCTTTGATAAAATGGCTGATTGAAAGTAGGAGCATTATCATTTACATCTTCAACAGTAATGATTACTTTGGTTGTACCACTTAATCTTGGCTTTCCTCCATCATAAGCTATAAGCGTTAGATTGTGAACAGACTGCTTTTCTCTGTCTAAAGATTTCTTTAGTACAAGCTCTAAAGATCTGATCTGGTTCATGTGTTTTTGAAAATCCAATGTAAAACAGTCATTGGCACTGAGCTCATAGTTTGTAATAGAATTTGTTCCAAGATCTGGATCTGCAGCTCTCTTTAATGGAAAAGAAGATCCTGCAGGTCTGAGCTCTGATATCAGAAAGTTGTATTCTTTGGAGGAGAAAATTGGACCATTGTCATTTATATCTTCTATTTCAACATCTACATGATACATTTGCACAGGTTTATCTACAATGACCTGCAGAGATATTATACAAAAAGGTGTATTTGGACACAATAATTCCCTGTCTATTGCCTCTTTAACAAACAAAATTCCATTTTGAAGATTAACCTGGAAATATTCTTTCTCTTTTCTAGAGGAAATATGTAACATTCTGGAATTAATCTCACCTAAGTCCAGTCCCAGATCCTGTGCAATTCTTCCAACAAATGTGCCGTGTTGGGATTCCTCAGGGATGATATAATGCAGCTGACTCAGGACCACATCCCAAGACATTTGTAGCAATAAGAAAATGGCCAACCTTTTTTCTGCTTGATAATCCAGGTTTGTTTTGATCATTTCCTAAAATCACTGATGATAAAGTTGATATCCTTTACAGGAAAGAAGGCATTCACACTGACTGAAAATCCATGCTACAGGAAAAAAATTCTATCATGGCTGATTCTTACAGCAAGATATTGAGCTGGCAACAACAGAGAAATGAATTGCCTTTCATTTTGATACTATATGTTGGTACACAGTGACATCTAGTGCTGATTTTCAAGGTTACAGATCAAAAAATTAACTATAGTTCTTTTTTATGGACTAAATGCTCTTTCATAAATAGTAACTATAGCATGCATTTGTTAATGTAATGGATAAAGCATTTTGGGAAGTAGATTATAACACATGTTCATAATACCTTTGAAATAATACACAGCCAATACACAAAAATGTGTTCTAAAATATGAAACAAAAGCAAAGGGATGGGTCTCACAAAAATATTTAGTCATCCACACAGCACACTATGTTTAAAAAGAAATGGACAGAAGAAACCCATGGAATGTTGCAAACTAAAAAATAAATGTAACCATAATAAATTCTAAATGCTAGGATCTAATATCTACTTTCTTTGCAGTTATTACAACTTCTAGTGCAAATTTATTGCAAGTAACAGGAACCCCCAAAACAATACATTATACATACTGTTGCATTACTCCTAATTATACTTTAAATCCAGATACAACTAAATGAATTATTGCACTAAATAACATCCCATTCTACATTCAGGGATGCTTATCTGAATGTTATTACTGTATTTAAATTTACAAACCATGTGTAAATGCAAGTGAAATGTAAGTTTCTGTTGTCTACTTTCAAATCAAGTATTCTACAGTGTGTTTGTTTGAGTTATGCAGGAGAGTACTACAACAGTCCTTACTGGTATGTCCATTGCGGTGGGTGCTGTAGTGACTGTGGATGGAGCCGCTTCAGTTTAAAGTAGTAAAGTACATCACAAGCACACTATGGTTAAATCTTCAAGCGGTGATCATTTTATTGATACAAACACATCTTGTCACATAGCAAAATTCCAGGGCCACTCAGGGTCCCTTCATCAGGCATGTCTGATGAAGGGACCCTGAGTGGCCTGAAATATTGCTATTTGGAAAGATGTGTGTGCATTAATAAAATGATCACCTCTTGAAGGTTTAACCATGATGTGCTGGTGACATACTTTACTATTTTTTTTGAGTTATGTTACGCACCTTGTGTATTCTATGAAAAGTGTTTCTGAATAGTCTTGTGTTTGTGAATGTCAAGAAGTCACAGTATGCCCAAATACAGTTATGTGTTGAACAGATTTTTTTTAAAGAAATAAAATTCCATACGTCCTAACTTTTAGGAAGGCAGAGTACATATATGTAAATCAAGGCCCACAGAGGTCTAACAAGTATGAATTATATAAATAAATCATTAAAACATAATACTTGATAGTCCACATGTCTACACATACAGTATATACAGGCAAATATGAAAAAACTGTTGGGTTATACTGCTTAATGACCCTTCCCAGGAAGCCCAGATTCATATTCCAAAAAAACTAGGAATATGAAGAATGTTATTGTCCCTAGTATTCTTAGGAAAAAAGGTTTGAACCAACTTTCCAGTATTCCAACATTTTTATCTCTGACAGGAACCTCTTTTGTGATATATTGCCTCATCTTTCCATGCAGTCTTCTGTTTGTGGGCAGGACTATTAGACCACTAAGAACATGCTTTGGTGAGCACCATAAAAATAAGGAACAAATTTCCCTTAAGAGTAGTGTATCACAGCACTTTCCCATGTCACATGATAGTGAGGGGTTTAAAGTAGAAGAAAAGGCATCTACTACCAAATGGCCCAAATGATACCTATAATATGTGCAAGAAATGTACACACCTATTTAAACAATAAGGTACTACTGGCAAAAAGCCTGTGAGCCGCCTCCTTCTGCCTTTCCAGACTTCTGCTTCCAAATTTTAAATCACCAGATAGAATCTAAAAGGAAAAAAAATCTATTGTGCTTTATTTTTAGAAGACGATTTACTAAAGGCAAATAGGCTGTTCACGTTGCAATGGTATTTGCACTTTGCAAGTGAATTTTCAGTTAGCTTAGTAAATGTGGTAAAAATTCACTTTATAAAGCATACCCAATCACGTGCAAGGAAAATAAAACATAACCCAGTACTTTTTCCTTGCACATGATTGGATGATAGAAATCGGCAGATTCGCCTCATTCACTAAGCTAAGGGAAAATGCCCTTGCAAAGTGAACAGTCTATTTGTCTTCACTAAATCAACCCCATTGTGATCAAGGTTGTGGATGCATCCTGTATTTAATGTTGGCTTATAAAAACAATTCTATAACATTGTAATAAAGATATAAAACACACAAGTTTAAATCCAATCCATTGTAATTTCCCTTTAATTTAAATTTCTCAATTAGTTTATGCCTCAGTAACCATTTTCATTAAAATTCCAGTGATATTTTTTTTCCAAATAGGGAGGTATTTTACACATTCTGGCTTTGTCTTAAGATTGAGGATTTCTGGGAATCAACCCCATGAACTAGTAAGCCTTCAAAATCCCTACACTCTAATGCCTTCTTTGAAGAGTTAGAGTTAGAGTTATAGGAGTTACAAGATTCTTAAAAAAAAAAAACTTTGCTCACTGGAGGTCTGTGCAACTTACAAAAATGTCTTTACATCTCATGTTTTTCCATCAGAACCCATGTGAAAGCTTATATACCACTCACTCATAAATAGGTGATCTGATATGCACTTATAGGAGGGCAGGATGAGACATACGATGTTTAAATATGTTTTGTACTGTTAATTCTTTTCACAAAAAACTCTAAAAATACCAAACACAACTGTAGTCTCTATTTACTTACATGGTTAATTAGTGCATTATATGTATATCTACAATGGAATGTATGCAAGTGACCATACCTTGCTTGAGGAATATATTAGAGCACTTTGCTGGTTCACATTCTCTTCATTGTTTGGGGCCCGAAAACTATTTGGAGTGAAAATAATCATGTCATTCGGAGCTTGGTGTGAGTTTGAACATACTCTGTACTGAGTATGTTGGGAGTACATCCAACTACCTCCAGTATTGGAACAAATCTTGTAACTTTCTTTCAAATCATTTACCTCATCTCTGTATTTTTGCCACCTTAAAAAAGTGAAGGCAATTAATGTGATGAGAAATATACTTGAGATTATGCAGATTGCAACAACTAAATAAATATTTGTGGTAGAAAATTCATCATTGTTGATATGTAAGTCATCATTATCTAAAATGACTTCTTCTGATTCCACCAAAGAGAGAATTACTTGTGTGAGCGCTGTCATGACTGGGTTACCATGATCCTTAGCAACCACTAGTAATCTATATTCATCATTATCGGACTCTACAAATGAACGTTTTAAAATTATTTCGCCTGTTTGTTGAGCAATAATAAATGGATCATATCCTGGTGAATCTCTAAATTGATAAGACAGTAAAGCATTGTAGCCTGAATCTAGATCCACCGCTTTGATTTTAGCTACTAAATATCCAGCTTGAGCAGATTTTGGAGTCCTAAAGGTAGCTGTAGAATAGAGGGGGAAAAACATTGGAGCATTGTCATTTATATCTTCAATAAAAATATTTAATGTTTGGTTAGAGCTGAGTGGAAGTAGGCCAGCATCAGTGGCTCTTATGTGGCACTGGAAATATTTGACTTGTTCATGATCAAATGACACTAAAGCGAAGACCTTCCCATTCTCTGGATTGATGGAGATGTAGGCGGTGATTGGAATTCCTTCAATGTTACTGTCTGTAATTGAATATGTAATGAAAGAATTCTGACCAATATCTGGATCATATGCTGAAGCCATGTAAATATAAGACCCGGGTGCATTGTTTTCCTTGATGAAAATTGTGTCGCTAGGTTGAATAAACCGGGGTGCATTGTCATTTACATCACTTATTGTAATTCTTATACTTTTTGAAACTGATAGAGCTGGAGAACCTTCATCTCGTGCAGTTATTGTAACTTCATATTTATCTTCTAGTTCTCGATCTAATGGTCCATTTACTGTCACGGAGAAATCCCCCATAAATGACGGATTTACTTGAAATGGTATATGTTCAGATATGTAACAGTGAGCCTTTCCATTCAATCCTGAGTCTTTGTCATGTACACTGATGATTGCAACCGTTGTCCCTTGTGGAGAGTCCTCTGGAACATGAACTGATAATAATGTAATTGTCATCTCGGGAGCATTGTCATTGACATCCACAACAGTCACTAGAACTTTACAATGTCCAACCAAAGGGTTATCCCCATTGTCAACTGCATTAACATGAATTTCAAACATGTTAGTCTTTTCAAAATCAATTTCACCTTTCACTCTGATTTCACCTGTATGTTTATCAAGACTAAAAACATTTGTCACTTCTTCTGTTACCATGTCCCCAAATTCATACAATATTTTTCCATTCTTTCCTTGGTCCAAATCTGTAGCATTCAGCTTAAAGACTAAGCTTTCTTTTGGAGCATTTTCAGTTACACTACATTGGTAAAATGGCTTATCAAATGAAGGGGCGTTATCATTAAGATCTTCAACATTAACTATTACTTCAGTTGTACCACTGAGTCTAGGATTGCCCCCATCATAGGCTGTGAGTGTTAAATTGTGAACAGATTGTTTTTCTCTGTCTAGAGATTTTCTAAGTACAAGTTCTAGTGATCTGATCTGGTTCATGTATTTTTGAAAATCTAATGTAAAATAATCACTTGGACTGAGTTCATAATTAGTAATTGAATTTGTTCCAAGATCTGGATCAACAGCAACTTTCAGTGGAAAGCGTGATCCTGCAGGAATCAGCTCTGATATCACTAAATTATTCATGCTGGAAGCAAATGTTGGATTATTATCATTAATATCTTCAATTTCAACATCTACACGATATATCTGCACAGGCTTATCTACAAAAACCTGCAGAGGAATGATACAGGATGGTGTATTTTGGCACTGCAGCTCTCTATC